CTCCCCCCCCCCGGGATACTCAGGGGTTACCTCAAAATAAAATCAGCCCATTCGGTCCGGCCATATGGCCCGCTATAGCTAACATTAATACATCCAAACATATATGAGCTTTATTATATAGATATTAGATAGTGAATGAAATTGTTTAGACCGGTGTACATCAGCGAATCAGTAAGACAGCTAATGTGAAGCCAATCATTGATTCAAACAATTCTTGGACTAATCTTACTCTAATAAAAAACTCTACAATAGATAACAGGCTTATGTGTATATTTGAAAGGTAAATTAATTATGAATTATGAAACGATTGTTAACTTTATCATTCATACTCACTTCATGGTGAATTTTATTATTGACGCGCTAGAAAGTTAAATTAGCGGTATATTAAAGCACCGTCATATGAAGTAACAATCGTGCTATAATTGCTATTATTATTATTTATAGCACCGTCATATAAAGTAATAATCGGGCTATAATTGCTATAGTTTAAAATTAGATGTTTATTATTTTTAGCACCGTCATATAAAGTAATAATCGTGCTATAATTGCTATAGTGTAAAATTAGCTGTTGATTATTTATAGCACCGTCATATAAATTAATAATCGTGCTATAATTGCTATTGTGTAAAATTAGCTGTTTATTATTTATAGCATCATCATATAAAGTAAAAATCGTGCTATAATTGCTATAGTTTAAAATTAGCTGTTTATTATTCATAGCACGGTCATATAAAGTAATAATCGTGCTATAATTGCCATAATGTAAAATTAGCTATTTATTATTTATAGCACCGTCATATAAAGTTATAATCCTGCTATAATTGCTATAGTTTAAAATTAGCTGTTTATTATTTATAGCACTGTCATATAAAGTAATAATCGTGCTATAATTGCTATATAATGTCAAATTAGCTTTTTATTATTTATAGCACTGCCATATAAAGTAATAATCGTGCTATAATTGCTATAGTTTAAAATTTGCTGTTTATTATTTATATATAGCACCGTCATATAAAGAAATAATCGTGCTTTAATTGCTATAGCTAGATTGCAAGCTATAAATAAGAAAATAATTAATTTTCTATTTAAATCCTAATTTTATGAATGGATCAGTTCTGCGGTTTTGCGACCAGGATTTGCAACAGGAATGTCTCCAGATCGTGAATCATTTTTTGTTCTCATGGCCAAAGGAGAAATGAATAAACAAGATATTGATTATCATGGAAAAGTAAACAACCTTTTTTTGATGTACAATAAGCTTAACGGTGTGGGGGGGGGCAAGGTGTATGAAATATAAGGGAGATACAACTGACGCGGCTCGCCCTGCCATATTGGAAACTTTTCTTTGCAGGGAAAAACATTTTTGGACAATTTAATTTTCCTGTCAAATGGCAAATTAAAACTTTGGAACTTTTCGATGGATAAAATGAGTTTAACTAGTTCTTTCCGTTTAAGAAGAGTAACAAAAGAGAGCTAAAAACTTTTAAATGCGCGAAATAGTTCAGCTAATTATTTTCAAATCTCATCGGTTAAATCATAAATTAATAACAATACAGATGTCGTCTTTTCAAGATTTAGGCGTTTTTCATTCACAATAACGCTGAAGCAGAAGCCCAAGGAGTGACACGTATGCCGCGTCGAATTACAAGACAGAGAGGGAGCATGCGCGTAACTCCTTTGGGCTTCCGCCTCAGGGTTGTTGTGCACGAAAAGCCCCAAAATCTTGAAAAGACGACATCTAGTGTTCTATCTGTATTGTTATTAATTTATGATTTGACCGATGAGATTAGAAAATAATGAGCTTAACTCAGTTTGCCCATTTAAAAGTTTTTAGCTGGGGTTTATGTTAGTACGTCTTAAATATCCAATCTATTCTATGTTGAAATGGAGTCTGTTTGAGTATACAGTAAGCCCCGTAAAACTGTGGAATTGAAAGACAATTGTCGGACTTGAGTTAGTCCAATATGGACATAAAACAGGACAATTATTTTCTGTACAGAATTTTGTTCAAAATATCGTTTCTACCACTGCACAGTTTAATGGGCCACTCTATACTTTACAAAATTGTTTTTATTTAAAAATATAATTCTAAAATTATTGTAAAATTATCATAATATTATGATCATAATATTTAATATAGAATAAAATGGCCACTAAACGGCCAGTGGACTTCAGAAAACGTAAGTAATTCTTAATTTATTTTTCATATTTACAATTCTTGGGAAAACTTGATGTTGAAGGTAAAGTTATATCTAAACTCTGAGTCCCGTAGAAATCAAAACTCCTTAATCCTATTTGGCCTGCGAAAACTCAAAATGGTATTTGAGCATGGAAGCTCAAATTTTCTGGCTTTTCTAACTAACACATGCCCCTCACTTAATACTACTGCCTGAATCCTAAGACATACTGCCTAAATGTCTTATTTTACATATGCCAGATTTTTGCACAGACGCCTTCTAAGGGAATATGCACATTTTTAGTTTTTCTTGAACACACATATATTTAGGTTTTAAAATTTTTCAAATGTTTTTGCATATTTGAATTTGCTAGGTAAAGGGCTTTTTAAAAATGCATAATTTGTTGCAATTTGAGCAATTTTTGTTTGCACATTATTTACTTTATTTTACTCCTGATCTCCAACTGCCACCGCCGCTTCACTCCGCCATTTATGTGCTCCATTCATGCACATTGCACAAAGTTTAAATCTAATAATTATTATGCTGAACCAGGGGAGCTCGTGTGTGTAAACAGCCTGAGCTATCTTGTAGCTTCCCGGTCACAATATATGTATAATTTGACAGTTATTTGATTAATATGTATGTTTAAACTTGTGGCCTAGTAAACGATTTGATTTGATTAGATTTACTTTATAACTAGATTTCGCAATAAATATTTGGATTTTTGTAAATTTGCCATTTTTGCAGATTATTGAAGTTCATCTTATAAATTTTTTTATCTGATTTATCAGACAACTCGGATGGTTTGAATCGACACTTTAAATGAGAAACACTAAATTAAATAAAGGTTTCCTGGGGCCCTAAATTCAATTCTATAATTCCGAAGTAATTTATTGACAAAAACCTCAGTTTCAAATTTTAATTGTCTTTTATTTTTTGAATAAATAAAATTACATTTTTTATTTTTTCTTATTTTATTTTTAGCAATTGACATGTCGAATGCAAATTCTACCCAATCAGAAAACGCAGGTATGAATTTTCTTTTCATTTTTTTTGTCTGACATCTTGATCACAAATATTTTTTCTTATTTATAAAATGACCGCCAAAAATGCTTAAAAAATTTGTGATCATAAAGAATTAAATTTTAAAAAATAATTTTTAAAGAATTTGATTTTAGTAAATGGATCCAACAGTTCTTAATCCCTGAACGGAGAATTAAAGAATTTTAAAAATACAATTTTAAAATTTTAAACTTTTTATTTGTTAATTTATAGGATGTCCTGAATTAACCCTGAAAGATGATCTAAGTGTGCATACTGTAAGCGAGAACTGCAGAGGAAACGAAAATAATCAAATTAAGGTGCAGGAACATGAACTAATCAGAGTCCTAATTTAATGAATTTAAGAGCCACGTCTCAAATCAGCCAAACACCGTTTTCAATTTAGCACCGACCTAAATCTTAAAACATTGAATGCTTTAAATTCGGCCTCAGAGCTATAAACTTTATAATGGAATATCCTTAATCCCGATCACTTAATCTGAATATCCAATGTACACACTTTTGATTTTCTTCTTTATCCTCTCTTTTTGAGTATTTTATTAAAGTTACATTTGATAACAAATCCAAGATCGATGCTATATCAATTGAACTAATATCAGATTAACCAATTACGTTCAATAGCATAGTCAGCCGAGCTGAAAACTTTAGAATGTGATATCCTTAATCCCGATCTGTTAGTTAATTTGGAGATTAAATTCATGAGGACAACAAGCAATATTTAATCTGGAGATTGAAAAAAAGAGTGGATCAAGCATTAATCCCGATATCCACCATTCTAATTGGGGTCGTTAAATATGATTTCATTCATCTTATTCACCAAACTCACCTTTCAAACATTCAGAGAAAAATATTTACGGAATGTTATTTTATTTTATAATTCCATGGGAGAGTTCAAAAGCATAACATCCCGCAATAAAGTTTGTATAATCACAGTTTGATAATATCGTTCAAAAGATGTCCTGCGATGGATAATTCCCCGTTTAAAATAAAACGGATCTTATTTTTAGTTTGCTTTTTTAAGATTTTTTTTTTCTAGTTTTTGCTATGAAATTCAACGGTTTTAAACGCATGTTTTTACTCTTTGCGAGCTCTGCATGAATCTCTTTAGTCTCAGAATCAATAATCATGTTGATTGTTTTACTTTTGATTTGAAGTTAGTCAGTAAACGCCAGTTAAAGTGACCCTCCATTTATAGAATGGTATGTCCGATTCCCGGCGGTACCATATTCTATTATGAATTAATATCCATATTTAAAGTTTTAAAAATAAATGATTCTTAATTGTGGTTTTTGTTCAAAAGCGACTTGCATATATCCACAGCAACCAACTTTTCACGTGACCAGTAGAGTGCACTGCGATTGGAGGGATTTCTGGTCACGTGATACGGACGTATATATCTTACATATATACGTTTTGGAATAATTATGACGCAGTTTTATTTCAATTTCTCGAGACAGGAGCATCGGATAGATTTCTTATAGGTATCGTTCAACTCCTGAGGTTCTCAGGTTTCAGCCTATACCCCCTTTCATTTTTCCTTTACAGTCCCTTTAAACTGAAATAATAAATTTTATTTTAAGGGATTACCGGATAAGACGGAGTGCAGTGTCGAATGTCAGGAAATTGATACTTCTGGAAATGTTATAATCAATGATGATACTGTTTCTATAGAATTCACTTGTCAATGTGAAAATGGTGAGATTTGTCGTTTGTTCAACTATACGATCAACATAAATTCAAAAATCAGAATTTTGATAAAAATTGACTTGTGTGTGTGTGTGGGGGGGGGGGGGGGGGTTTTTTAAGCCTTATTCTAACAAAGATTTAGAAATCAAATGATCAGGGTTTTATACATTCAGTAGTAAATTTTAATAAAAATGGCGGTCAGATATTTAATAAATATGAAAAAAATTGGTGATATTTCTTAATTTAAGAAAAATCATCTAAGATTAATAAAAATTTCTTTTTAGGTCTTTGTGATTGGTCTGATAGAGATAAATTAGAGTGTAAGTAATTATTTTAATATTTTGTACAGTTCTCATTTTCTTACTTCTTTACTTATAAGTATCTTCTTAGTTTTTAACATTTTTGTTATAAATTAGTTAAAAACAGTTCAATAATAATTCAATTTGAATATTTAAAAAGATACAATTAAGTTTTTGTTAATTTATAATAACTTAAAAACTTATTTGAACATTTAAAAAGAAAAGTAAAATTGTTCTTTTTCAGCTTGCGGCAAAACATTGGAAGGTTCCAATACGACAAGTGCCAATGTTTGAAGAGCTGAAGTCAGTACGAAGTTCTAAATTTATGAGGATTAGGATGAATGAGGATATTTAATAAAGTTTATATTTGATTTCGTTAATATTCCGGATTTGTTTTTTTAAGAAATTTGTTTGTTGGAATAATAATGCACAATGTTGATACAGGGTTACCCACAAAGAATGAGACTTCAGACTGAAATTTTCATTTTTTAAGAGTTTCAAGTCACCTATATAGTCTCGAATCCTTTGTGGGGACCCTGTACATGAATAAAAGATAAAATATATACATAAAATATTTGTTTAGTGGCAGGAACTTTAAATTTGATTTGTGAAAATATCCGACATTCATTTTCGTGATCATTATAATTTCTCTAGAGCAGACGTTTGGCGGATTCTGGTAAGCGCAGAGGTTCTTTAATAAAGTTAGTTACTCTCGATGCGCTCCATTGTACGGAAAATGTCGTCTCCTTTGCATAGTTAGATAGAATATGCTTATGACGTCACTGATTATAGGGTCGAAAGTGACGTCATGTGAGGAGTCTATCTATCTATAGCTAAGGAGACGACATTTTCGTACAAATTGGAGCGCATTGAGAGTAACCAACCTTATTAAAGAACCTTGGATCTGGGCCAGTCGGACATTTAGAGATATCCAGGAGGAACAAAGATACGAAGTGTCCCACATCAAATTAGACCGCGTCAATGGGTCTAAATTACGATTTGGGGGACTAATCAGAAAATTTAAGAAGAATGAATCATTTTGAAAAATTTTATATGGCTAATAGAATTTTTTTTGCAGATAATGCTAGATTTTTTGAGTATTGTGTTCGTATTTAGGTGTTAAAGATTGGAGATAATCTAATTTGATATGGGACGCTCTGTATATTGTAATCTGGGAACTTCCGTGTTGGATACACATTATTCCGATCCTGATATCCACATGTGTGGGAACTATTTATTTAAGAATCAATGCTTAATCTAATCATTTTATTTATCCCTTTAAGAGAATTTGAGCCGCGGCTTAAATTTAAGCCGCGGCTCAAATTGTTTAAATTCGGCCTCTGCAGAATAACAAAAGATCGAGATCAAGCATAGATCTCGATATTCACAAAACAGGAGTTCCCAGCTGTGAACAGATTATCGATATAAAAGTTCAAATATCAGCTCAGTAGAGTTTTATCATTTACTCTCAGACACATTAAAATCGATAGATAACCCCAACTGCGGCGTATAGCCAAAGGGTTTATTATTAAAGGGGTTTTATTTTTTTCATTGATTCTAGTTTTTTAGACATTTTTAACATTTTAGATTAGCGAGATTTTGATAGAGGAATAAAGATTCATAACGATTAATGTTATTTAACTACTATACAAAATATCATATTCCAATCATATTTGATTGTTTACACATTTTCATACAGTATTCATATCCCAGGAATGTTGCTCCGTTCAGAGGAAACGCTCTTAAAGACATCAATATAAATCCTGGAAATGGAATTCATTAATCAATCGTCTGATCAATTACACAAATCAATCATCTGATCATATTTCAATCATCTGATCATATTTCAATCATCTGATCATATTTCAATCATCTGATCATATTTCAATCATCTGATCATATTTTAATCATCTGATTATATTTCAACCATCTGATCATATTTCAATCATCTGACCATATTTTAATCATCTGATCATATTTCAATCATCTGATCATATTTCAATCATCTGATCATATTTCAATCATCTGATTATATTTCAATCATCTGATCATATTTAAATCATCTAATCATATTTCAATCATCTGATCATATTTCAATCATCTGATCATATTTCAATCATCCAATAATATTTCAATTTAAGTTTTATATTTTTTTGTATTACTTTTGGACAATTGGAAATTAGAATTTCATAAAAAAAGATATTTTTATTATCGCTTGCAGACAAGGATTGCAAGGATACCGTTATCAAGTGGACCTGCTTTGAATTGACGGTTACTTATAATCGGCAGTCGGCGTAATTTCAAGTGATCCTCCATGCAAAGCTTTGTCTGATCAAGTATGAATTTGATATTCATGGTTTCGTTTCCTTAAACAGTTTATTTTTATTTGTGGTTTCTCTGCTGACCAGAAAAAGATGTAGATATTATCAGAAATAAACACTTTTCGACTCAAAAAACGACGGTATCTCCCAAATTTTTGATCAGATTAAGGTTTTAAGGATAGCGTTTTAAATCGGCCATTGTCAATTTTGCACAGAGGGTCACTTGAAATTATGCTTACAGTCCCTTAAATATATTAAGAGTTATTATTTTAGACCGTAACATCAAATAGAAATAAATCAATTATGTTTCTCCCGATATATTTGCTTTGTGTCTCAATTATAAAAACATAAGATTTTTGACAAGGATTTGAAAAAATATGGTTAAATTTTCAAAAGTATGTTTTATACCTTTCGGTTTTGATGAGAATCACTTTGTATTCTAGATTTTATTACATCAAGGTATATAATTGCTTGCCAGGATACAAGTCCTAAACATGATTATATCCAAGTATATGATTGGACAGGATACAAGTCCTAAGCATGATTATATCCAAGTATATGATTGCTTTCCAGGATACAAGTCTTAAACATGATTATATCCAAGTATATGATTGCTTTCCAGGATACAAGTCCTAAACATGATTATATCCATCCAAGTATATGATTGCTTGCCAGGATACAAGTCCTAAACATGATTATATCCAAGTATATGATTGCTTGCCAGGATACAAGTCCTAAACATGATTATATCCAAGTATATGATTGCTTTTCAGGATACAAGTCCTGAGCAAACATTTAAGAACTATTTAAATAAAAAATGACTTTTTAAATAGATGTATTTTGGAAAAACTTTTGAACAAAAGTAATATTTTTGTTTGATTGCTTGACAGGATACAAGTCCTAAACATGATAATATCCAAGTATATGATTGTTTGAAAGGATACAAGTCCTAAGCATGATTATATCCAAGTTTATGATTGCTTGACAGGATACAAGTCCTAAACATGATTATATCCAAGTATATGATTGCTTGACAGGATACAAGTCCTAAACATGATTATATCCAAGTATATGATTGTTTGACAGGATACAAGTCCTAAACATGATTTTATCCAAGTATATGATTGTTTGACAGGATACAAGTCCTAAGCATGATTATATCCAAGTATATGATTGCTTGCCAGGATACAAGTCCTGGGCAAACATTTAAGAACTATTTAAATAAAAGTTGACTTTTGAAATAGATGTATTTTGGAAATACTTTTGAACAAAAGTAATATTTTTGTGAAAAAGAATATCAAACTATACTTTAACTAAAAGTTCCAAATACAATCTGAGTGAATTCTAAATCCCTATTTCAATATTGTTTGTTTGTTCGTTTGTTTGTTTGTTTGTTTCCAATAAACGTCAAAACGTCTGAACTGCTGTAGAGCCTCGCATTCCATTCAAGGTGTGACGTTAATATGCACCGGGATATAATATTACACCAGGGGTTTAATATTACACCAGGGGTATAATATTACACCAGGGGTATAATATTACACCAGGGGTATAATATTACACCAGGGATATAATATTACGTCCCGGGTTGTGTGGCAATTTTTGATAATATGGACACTTTCCCAACACGCCATTTAACGTGAAAGCATCAAGAAGCACATGCTGAAAAAAGCTATATTGTTTAGTAGGTTTTTTAATGTAGCAGTACAAAAGTGTTAAAAGATCAATATTCTGTCACAAAAGTCGTCTTAACCTTAAAGAATTGTAAATAAATATATTTCAACTTCTTTTCTTGAGTACACATAGATCCAAGCTGTTATGAAAAGTGTGCATCAATTTTTGATAATTGGGTTGATTATGAAGTGTCGCAACGCCTTGGTCTTTGATTTTATTTTACTAACTTATTTATACTTATACTTTTGTTTTTAACTTCAAGTTTTTAAGATAACGTTGACAACATTTTAATCAACTTTTACGTGAGACTTGAGAGTATACAAGTACATACATACAATATATATATTACCTGCTAAACCACCAGCACAGTGAGTATACAAGTACATACATACAATATATATATTACCTGCTAAACCACCAGCACAAAACATTTCTAAAGGTCCATGCTCAAACTTCTTCGTATTCTAAACAATTTGTTTAAACTCTTAAAACAGGAAAATCTGCGAATTTTTTGTTGTTTTTATGCTAGAATATTCGATGGAAAGATGAACTCGTGGAAAGTAACATTTAAAAGCTGAACAATCTTTAAATCCAGGAAGTTCATTTAGTTCAAAACAAAATCAGTATGTTTCTAAAACACATAACATTAAAAAATGTTAATCTTTTCTTATTGGATTTGTAGACTCCATGCCCTGGCTGAATTTTTGGGTACTGCAGTGCAAACAATGTTTACTTCTATTACTGGATTGTCGTTTACTACCTACAAACTTTATATATATATTCCGAAATGTTGTGTACTTTAGACTCTATTTACCTTTTTCTGCTGTATTGTTGTGTACTTTAGACTTTATTTACCTTTTCCCGCTGTATTGTTGTGTACTTTAGACTCTATTTACCTTTTCCCGCTGTATTGTTGTGTATTTTAGACTCTATTTACCTTTTCCCGCTGTATTGTTGTGTACTTTAGACTCTATTTACCTTTTCCCGCTGTATTGTTGTGTACTTTAGACTCTATTTACCTTTTCCAGCTGAATTGTTGTGTACTTTAGACTCTATTTACCTTTTCCAGCTGAATTGTTGTGTACTTTAGACTCTATTTACCTTTTCCAGCTGAATTGTTGTGTACTTTAGACTCTATTTACCTTTTCCAGCTGAATTGTTGTGTACTTTAGACTCTATTTACCTTTTCCAGCTGAATTGTTGTGTACTTTAGACTCTATTTACCTTTTCCAGCTGAATTGTTGTGTACTTTAGACTCTATTTACCTTTTCCAGCTGAATTGTTGTGTACTTTAGACTCTATTTACCTTTTCCAGCTGAATTGTTGTGTACTTTAGACTCTATTTACCTTTTCCAGCTGAATTGTTGTGTACTTCAGACTCTATTTACCTTTTCCAGCTGAATTGTAGTGTACTTTAGACTCTATTTACCTTTTCCTGCTGAATTGTTGTTTACTTCAGACTCTATTTACCTTTTCCTGCTAAATTGTTGTGTACTTTAGACTCTATTCTATTTACCTTTTCCTGCTGAATTGTTGTGTACTTCAGACTCTATTCTATTTACCTTTTCCTGCTGAATTGTTATGTACTGCAAACTTTGTTTATTTCTAAAGTCTCCAATTGTGTCCAGGGTCCAGTAATAGATTAGGAAGTATAAACCGGAAGCTTTTATGTCCCTATAAGAGAAAAAAATTAATAGTTTTTAATTATGACCATTAAACATCCCACACTGTCAGATGAAATCCCAACGTTATGATCGACGATTATACCGATCTGATTACAATATTCCGTCCCTCTGTCAATCAAATTCGTTGGCAATCACAAATTCGACTTTTCAGAGGCCGAATTTAAAGAATATGACCCGCAGCTTAAATTTTTGATACGCACCTGAGATATGATTGGTTCCACTTAAAATTACATTAAATGTTTCAAGATTTAAGCTGTCGCTCAAATAAAACCGGTTTTTGGCGGATTTGAGACGCGGCTCAAATTCATTAAATTCGACCTCAGGGACCGAATTTAATGAATTTATAGATCACTGAACCTTTTACTGGTTTTTATTTAAATTTTACCTGAATCCCTGTGGGATGAGACCTCTATAGCAACCCTTGATTCCTTCAGCTTTATATATTTTAGTTAAACAATCCAGTGGACCTTTGTATAGGCTACCTAGAGATATATATATTTATTTTAGTTAAATAATCCAGTGGTATAGAGATTACCTAGATAAATATATTACTTGTACCTGTTCCTACGTGTACCTGAAGCTACCTGTACCTGGATTTACTTTTAACCTGAGCTACTTGTACCTAGAGCTACTTGTACTTGGAGCTACTTGTACCTGGATTTACTTGTACTCAGAGTTACTTGTACCTGGCGTTATTTGTACCTGGAGCTACTTGTACCTGAAGCTACTTGTACCTGGAGCTACTTGTACCTAGAGCTACTTGTACCTGGAGCTAATTGTACCTTAAGCTACTTGTACCTGGATTTTCTTGTACTCTGAGCTAATGTACCTGGAGCTACTTGTACCTGGAGCTACTTGTACCTGGAGCTACTTGTACCTGAAGCTACTTGTACCTAAATTTACTTGTACCCTGAGCTACTTGTACCTAGAGCTACTTTTACCTGGAGCTACTTGTACCTGGAGCTATTTGTACCTGGAGCTACTTGCACCTGGATAGCTACTTGTACCTGGAGCTACTTGTACCTGGATCGCTACTTGTACCTGGAGCTACCTGCAGCCTGACCTTGACAAGTTCTACAGGACACGCTACAACAAGCTGACCTGCAATAGTGTATATTTAAACAAGCATAGTCTTTAAAGCATTAAAATATGAACCTATGTAAGAATATTAGAACCTAACAGGATGAAACTTCTCCGGCAAGGAGGGTAATGTAAATGCGCAGTATTGTAAAACAGAAAATGAGGATTTCAATTATTATTTCAACGTACATCGTTAGCTACTTCCTTCAAGTGTAATCATAAACATTCATGTTGAAGAAATTATCATATTTTCATGTATAAATGCTTTATTTTAAGAAATTTTGATAGTTACCTGCCCCCGCTATACATCCTGCCATAAATATTGAAGAGTAGGTAGGTCGTCTTCCTGTATCAGGTTCCAGTAGGTTTAATGTACTCCCATATACTCCTAGAATATAGAGGAGTAGGTAAGTCGTCTCTCTCTGTATCCTGGTTCCAGTAGGTTTAATGTACTCCTATATACTCCTAGTATATAGAGGAGTAGGTAATTCGTCCCTTTGTATTCTGGTTCCAGTAGGGTTGATACAGTACAGTAAAACATGAAGCTGTATTATGTACATTGTACAGTACTCGCTCCGCAATCAAATAATTATCATGATTGTTTACACTATACAACATATACTAAACTACAGGGTGGTCCAACGATCATGGGGATTAAGTTATACCGTCTTTGATTTTAAATCAAGTCAACAGCCTTGCGGTTCATAAGCTTTTTTAAATGTGGGTGTCTTGTTTTCATGTTATTCACACAGATCTTATATATTTTAAACAATTGGATTCTATTGAAATATCTTTAGAGATTTTATTAATTTTTGTGGCAGACAAGTTATAAACCTAATTTGATATCCCAAAACTGAAAGTTTCTATTGAAAATTGATTTAACTGAAAAAGTACTATTTTTGTTTTCTTAAAAACGTGCATGTTTAAAGATGACGGCTGTACATTCAGAACATTATAGCCAATATTGAGTTAAAGTTTTTGAAAATTAATTTATGAGTCCGTTAACAAACTTTAAAAACTGTTAGTTTCTAAATTGCTAACAAACGAAAATTGCCGGTCTTGAAAAAAATGACGGTTAAAAAAATTAATGAAAAAACGTGTTTCTTCACAACGACGACTTTCGTTTATTTTCGTACCAAAAAAGAAAATAATTTTTTACTTATTTGGATGTTTTTAAGGCATAGAGTCTATGTGAAATGATCATTGGTCAATTATGAAACCAGCCTATTTAATAATTTGGGTTTCTTTTAACAATAATTTTAGATTTTCAATAAAATGATATTCCAGGGCCCAAGAGGTTATATAGCACAAATATGTGAAGTACAAAATGGCCGTTTTACACTTTTTTCTAGTAAATTCCCCTCTAACATATATTCTATTCTCTATGGTTTTCAAATGTTGTTTTAAAATGGCTAAACTATTTTCACGTGTAGTCATGTTAACGATTTCTAAAATAAGTTAAGTTCACGTGTTTTTAATACATTATCTATTCCATACCAAAGAAAATAGAGTTGATGCCTCCTGCAGATATTAAAGGATAAGATAAACCACGGAACAAAGTTCGAAAACCATCCTTAAACAAATAAATAAATATTTTATCTTTAAAGGGACTGTTAGCGTATTTTTAAGTGCTCTCCATACAAAAAGGACAATGTCCGATTTACAGTGGTACCCTTAACACCTTGGTGTGTTCGTTGAGTACAGAGATATGTGTGTGTACTGTGTATTCAACTGCAAATTTCAGTTTACGCTACGTACAGTACACCACGAAATCAACACAGCACAGCGCACACTGGAAATTCCAGCTAAAAAAAGCGGGTTTTGATAGGTTTACACACACATGTCTCTGTACTGAGTACTGTGACCTTTTTACATGGAGGGTCACTTGAAATTACGAGTAAAGTAAAAAATATAAAACAGAATTTGAAAATCACAATTTCACATAAAACGCAGGAAGATAATTGTTAACAAGAAATGTTTATTGTTGTTTCTGGTATGAATATAGTCGTCGTCGTTTATATCAATCCTATGAAGACGACTTTTCTATTTTAATATTAATTTCTTCCAAGAGCTTTAAAGTTACACATTAACATGAAAACAAAGAGAAGTTGTCAATTAACAGCTTTGTTTACTTGTAAGCTAGTAAATTGAAAAAAAAGTTGCAAGAAATCAAAACTTAAAAGAAAAGTCGTCTTCATTGTACTGATGTAAACGACGACCACTCAATATTCACTTCTTCCAGAACTGATCATTACATCTTTTATGTCAGCAAATATGAGTGATGTTTCTTTCTTGGTGAGCACCATAGTTTTGCTTGTGCAGTTCTATGAGGGATATAAACTAGCTTTCCGTGTAGTATGTATACAGCGTACTGCTGTTTCTGGGAGAAATATAAACTAGCTTTCCGTGTAGTATGTGTACAGTGTACTGCTGTTTCTGGGAGGAATATTAACAAGCGTGTGGTGTAGTATGTGTACTGTGTACTGCTGTTTCTATGAGGGATATAAACTAGCTTTCTGTGTAGTATGTGTACAGTGCACTGCTGTTTCTGGGAGGAATATTAACAAGCTTGTGGTGTAGTATGTGTACAGTGTGCAGTGTACTGCAGTTTCTAGGAGGAATATAAACAAGCTTGTGGTGTAGTATGTGTACACTGTGCAGTGTACTGCAGTTTCTAGGAGGAATATAAACAAACTTGTGGTGTAGTATGTGTACACTGTGCAGTGTACTGCAGTTTCTAGGAGGAATATTAACAAGCTTGAGGTGTAGTATGTGTACAGTGTGCAGTGTACTGCAGTTTCTAGGAGGAATATAAATGTGTAGTATGTGTACAGTGTACTGCTGTTTCTGGGAGGAATATTAACAAGCTTGTGGTGTAGTATGTGTACAGTGTACTGCAGTTTCTAGGATGAATATAAACAAGCTTGTGGTGTTGTATGTGTATAGTGTACTGCTGTTTCTGGGAGGAATATTAACAAGCTTGTGGTGTAGTATGTGAACTGTGTACTGCTGTTTCTAGGAGGGATATAAACTAGCTTTCCGTGTAGTATGTGTACAGTGCACTGCTGTTTCTGGGAGGAATATTAACAAGCTTGTGGTGTAGTATGTGTACTGTGTACTCCAGTTTCTAGGAGGAATATTAACAAGCTTGTGGTGTAGTATGTGTACTGTGTACTGCAGTTTCTAGGAGGAATATTAACAAGCTTGTGGTGTAGTATGTGTACAGTGTACTGCAGTTTCTAGGATGAATATAAACAAGCTTCTGGTGTAGTATGTGTACAGTGTACTTCAGTTTCTAGGATGAATGTAAACAAGCTTGTAGTGTAGTATGTGTACAGTTTACTGCAGTTTATGGGAGAAATATAAAATTAAAGAAGCTTCTGGTGTAATATGTGTACATTGTACTCCAGTTTCTAGGAGGAATATAAACAAGCTTGTGGTGTAGTATGCGTACAGTGTACTGCAGTTTCTAGGAGGATTATAAACAAGGTTCTGGTGTAGTATGCGTGCAGTGTACTGCAGTTTCTGGGAGAAATATAAACAAGCTTGTGGTGTAGTATGCGTACAGTGTACTCCAGTTTCTAGGAGGAATATAAACAAGCTTGTGGTGTAGTATGTGTACAGTGTACTGCAGTTTCTGGGAGGAATATAAACAAGCTTGTGGTGTAATATGTGTACATTGTACTCCAGTTTCTAGGAGGAATATAAACAAGCTTGTGGTGTAATATGTGTACAGTGTACTCCAGTTTCTAGGAGGAATATAAACAAGATTGTGTTGTAGTATGTGTACAGTGTACTGCAGTTTCTAGAAGGGAATACAAACAAGCTTGTAGTGTAGTATGTGTACTGCAATGTACTGCAGTTTCTAGGAGGAATACAAACAAGCTTGTGGTGTAGTATGTGTACAGTGTACTGCAGTTTATAGGCGGAATATAAACAAGCTTGTGATGTAGTATGTGTACAGTGTACTGCAGTTTCGAGGAGGAATACAAACAAGCTTGTGGTGTAGTAGGTGTACAGTGTACTGCAGTTTCTAGGAGGAATATAAACAAGCTAGTGGTGTAGTATGTGTACTGTGTACTGCTGTTTCCAGGAGAGATATAAACTAGCTTTCCGTGTAGTATGTGTACAGTGCACTGCTGTTTCTGGGAGGAATATTAACAAGCTTGTGGTGTAGTATGTGTACTGTGTATATTGCAGTTTCTAGGAGGAATATAAACAAGATAAACAAGCTTGTGGTGTAGTAGGTGTACAGTGTATTGCAGTTTCTAGGAGGAATATAAACAAGCTTGTGGTGTAATATGTGTATCGTGTACAGTCTGCTGCAGTTCCTAGGAGAAATATAAACAAATCCAAGCTAATCAGGATTGAATTTTTCGAATAAAGGGAAACAGCAAAAAGTTAAGTTTTTAGAAGGCAACGATTGTTCATCATGCTTTTTCAACTAAAAATAAGCATGACTACCCATCCCCCTCCCCCTCCCTCCAATATTTGGTTCACCTGTTTCAGGCAGTCCAAAATTGTTTGTATAATGCTTGAATATCCCAAAGCCTGTTGTCGTACCTTCAAGGTATCAAATGGATGGCCTGGAACAAACTTTTTAAAGGGAGTGTTCGCGAAATATAAAAGGGGAGATAGATTCACGCCTATTTAACACTTCAGTCATTGTCCAAATGGTGTATCTATAAAAACGTTACCCTACAAAAACGCTTCACTATAAAAACACTTGACTATAAAAACGCTACACTATAAAAACGCTACCAATGCTAAATTCGCTACTATTTTTTGATAAAAGCTATTGATTATGATTAAAGATAAGACATTAAATTATTAAATGTATTAAATGAAATGAAAGATATTGTTTTAATATTAATTAATATATAAATATATTTAACGAAATTACAAAGTCATTAAAAAAATTAAATCATAGAGGATTAAATATATTAAATATATTATAAAGACATTGGGACTCATTACATTTTCTATTCTTTTGCTGTAACATATATACATACATATTTTTTATTGAAATTTTTCAAGTTTGAGTATATTACTGAACCAACATCGAAATTAACATTGACATTTTGCAGATCTGTATTCCCTCGAGAACATTTGTTTTTGGACTCAAACCTTGTGAACGTTTACAAACTAAAATGTTTGCCTTCAGAAGACTGTTTATTCCGCCTGCCCCAGAAATCATTAACGTATCAGCTTGTTAGGCTAGATCCAGGTACACATCACGGTGGACTAAGCCGGTGTGGTCGGTCAAATAGGCCTAGGATTAGGCCGGGTACTGTAAAAAGTCTGAACACGCCATGGAAGTTGCCATAGCTAGCGACGGGACTATGCCAAGAAAATTGACCCCTGACGTATGTTAGTCTGGTTAGGGCGACGTACTGTACCATAGGATCGGGTCAGTACACGCTGTTATCTGGCAAGCCGGTACAAACTGGGCAGGTCCTGTTCGAATTCAAATTTACTACGGCCCAGAGTGAGACAGCATATATTACTATAGGCAGATAAGATTTCAAGATAATGAAGATAAGAAACGTGTTATTTGTATTCATAGATTTGAAACAAAGAGTATACATATTACGGACATATTTTTGTATATATAACAGAGAGTATTGATGGTAACAGAAATATATCGATAATATGGAAGATATTTATGTATGATAATAGACAGATATTATTAGATATGGAATTCTGGCTCCAATGAAAAATCAAGGGAAAGAGGGGGGTTCCATTGAAAAACCAAGGGAATGAGGGGGACTCCAATGAAAAATCAAGGGAATGAGGGGGACTCCAATGAAAAATCAAGGGAATGAGGGGGACTCCAATGAAAAATCAAGGGAATGATGGGTACTCCAATGAAAAATCAAGGGAATGAGGGGGACTCCAATGAAAAATCAAGGGAATGAGGGGGACTCTAATGAAAAATCAAAGAGCACAATGAAAATAAATCTGTAATCACTGAGCTTATTATATTTAAAGATGGTAGCAAAATTTCAAAATTAGATGCGAAAAAAAATTTCCCAATCTAATGATACTTTTTGTGGATTAACAAACTCGAATATCTTTATTACTTTAAAACACGAAGATAACTGTTTTCTGTTGAAACTGATTCAAAGCTAAAACGCACGCGGTTATAAAGTTGATTATACTTGACATAAAATAAGCTTAAATGTCTAGTTTTTTTAGCGCTGTGTTTAAAAGCAAATATTTTTTGTAATATTGACATCAAATCATACGATCAAAGTTATGAAAATAAGTTACTTATGCATAATTATGGACTGAAAATGAAAGGTTTGGTCATTAAATAGTTAAAACCAAGACTTATGAACTCTAAATTAATCAACTATTTTCTCTCTTTAGTTTGGTGTGCAGCTCAAACTGGTTCAACCTGTATAAATCTTCAAGATAAAAATCCACCGCGGTTCAAAACTTTTTTGTTAAAGGATAATTTCACCATTTGTATCAAATATTTTGTTATTTATTAAGAGCGTCGTAATATTTACGTACATGATTTTAGATTATCATTATTATTATCGTTATTTTGATCCTGTATAAAAAAAAATTTAAACTTCCAAAAAAAAATCAAATCATTTTATTTTGCCCTTATTCAGTATTGCAAGGTGCGATAGTTAAGTTTTGCTTAAATTTTTCTAAACGTCTCAGTCTTAAATTTTTTAAAGTTCAATTTATTCAACCCGAGCTGAAAACTTTAGAATGAGATATCATTAATCCTGATCACTTAATCGGAGTATCCAATGTACACACTTTTGATTTTAATCTTAATCCCCTTTTTTAAAAGTTAAGTTTGATAACAATTACAGATACAATGCTATATCGATTGAACTAATATCCGATTAAATTAAAGTCAGCTGTTCATAAGCCAGATTTAAGAGCATTTAGGCAAATATAAATTAAATCATGAACTTATTAAAAAATATACAGTGAAACCCTTAATAACGAATACATCGGAAGAATTTATCAAATGTCGTCTTGACAATTTTTCAATGAGTTTTATACTATATTACGTTAATTTCAGTTTTTGTAAAAATAAATAAATAGCCATGAATATGCATAACAGTTTTAAGGAGTTCCATATAATAATTTAATCAAAAAACTAAATATCTGCAACATTACATTATCAGAAATTATAAATTATAAGAAAACGACATTTGATGAATTCTTTCGATGTATTCGTTATTAAGGGTTTCACTGTATTTTATCACATTTGAGGATTATCATTATTTTAAACGAGTCTTAACAAACATTAATCTAAAACTTACATTTATTTAATCGATGTTTAGTTAAATTGATATGACACAATTAACACCAGAAAAAAACTGGTTTTTCAAAAGCTAAAGAGTACATCTTAAAATGACACGCTGATTGGTTGAATTTTATACTTCTTTTTTGGATATCGAATGCGTATTAAAGTAATCTCGGGTTTAGTAAAACCAGCTGTTTAAGCATTAATCTTGATATCCATCATTCTAAAGTTTTCAGCTCCGGTTGATTTCTCTAAACAGACTTTATTCATCAGATCTATTGACATCTTTGACTGGAGGATCACTAGAAATTACGCTCACAGTGCCTTTAATCTGGTTTTTTGGGAAACTCAAGAAGAACAATATCTAAACAAAATCCTGACATTACAGTAGATCACCTTGTATGCTATTCCATTAGCGCCTGATCCAATCAGGATTCAGTCATTTGTTTGTTGTCTATTCTGAACCAATAGAAATTGCATGGAAGTATCATCTATCTTTCTATCTATATCTCATTATCCAATTAGAGATAAATCCTTATACCGGGGCTACTTTTTCACTCTATTGAGGTTTGGTACATCACGATCACCGAGTTTTAAATTTACCTGAACCCTGATGGATCCTATAAATTCCTTATGAAGTAAATACTAGAGGTTTGGTCAGAACTGCAACATATACATAAATTTTTAAACAGTAAATGGAAATATTTACTTCTACTGAAACTACAGTGTTAAAAGTTGAATAGCGTAAATCCAGATAAAACAATGCTGTACTTGCAAATATTTGGTTTATGCTTCCTTGCATTTTTTTGTTTATTTTTCAGAACAGAAAAATGTGCCAAGTTAACACGATAAACTCATAGGATGGAATAATCCATCTAGTTTACATGATAAACTCATAGGATGGTATCATTCATCAAGTTTACACGATAAACTCATTGGATGGAATCATCCATCTAGCTTACACGATATAATCCATCAAGTTTACACGGTAAACTCATAGGATTGAATCATCCATCAAGCTTACACGACAAACTCGTAGGATTGAAAAATCCAACTAGTTTACACGATAAACTCGTAGAATGGAATAATCCATCAAGTTTACATGATAAATTCCAAGCATGGAATAATCCATCAAGTTTACACGATAAACTCATTGGATGGAATCATCCATCAAGCTTACACGATATAATCCATTAAGTTTACACGATAAACTCATAGGATTAAATCATCCATCAAGCTTACACGTTAAACTCGTAGGATTGAATAATCCAACTAGTTTACACGATAATCTCGTAGAATGGAATAATCCATCAAGTTTACACAATATAATCAAGTTTACACGATAAACTTATAGGATGGAATCATCCATCAAGTTTACACGATAAACTTATAGGATGAAATCATCCATCAAGTTTACACGATAAACTCGTAGGATGGAATCATCCATCTAGTTTACACGATAAACTCCAAGATGGAATAATTAATCAAGTTAACACGATAAACTCATTGAATGGTATCATCCATCAAGTTTACATGATAAACTCGTAGGATGAAATAATCCATCAAGTTTACATGATAAACTCGTAGGATGGAATCATCCATCAAGTTTACACAATAAACTCATAGGATGGAATCATCCATCAAGTTTACACAATAAACTCGTATGATGGAATCATCCATCAAGTTTACACAATAAACTCATAGGATGAAATCATCCATCAAGTAAACATGATAAACTCGTAGGATGGAATAATCCATCAAGTTAACACGATAAACTCCATCAAGTTTAAACTATAAACTCGTAGGATGAAATCATCCATCAAGTTTACACGATAAACTCGTAGGATGGAATCATCCATCAAGTTTACACGATAAATTCGTAGGTTTAAACTATAAACTCGTTTACATGATAAACTCCTAGGATAAATCATAGCGCATTTAAATGCATTTTTTTAATTATCGAAACTTTTATATAATCAAAATATTGTTAAAGCACAGCTATAATTTGGTCCGTTCCTAAAGCCTGCCTGTCTTACACACTGCAAGATGAAAAATATCAACAATAATATATTATATTTAATAATAAGAAAATCATAACAATAATAATATTTATCTGAAGTCCCCAGAGTTGCCCGTAAATTTACTTCTTCCAATCTACGATAATTTAGTTTTCTTGGGCCGCTTGAAATAAAGCTATTTAAAACATGCACCGAAATTTAGGCAAGCCTCTTTGGGTGCATAGCCATTCTTTCATGCTTGACCAACCTGTCGGTGGTCAGATGACCTGTTCCAGGTCAAAAGCCTTCAGAGTAATAATGACTTTGTAAAAATCCAGGGGGGGGTACACCCGCGCCTCCTTATTTCACTCAGGTGGGGGGTACTATCGACTGCCACCCCCCCCTGAAACCGCCTTATGCCCTTAATCATTTTCAAATATCTTTAAAAGACCCTCTAGCAGATTATCAGTATCAATTGTGGCGGGATTTTCTATTTTTGGGAGTAAGATGAAATGTCGTCTTTACCGCCGCGATGATATCAACGAAAGCTCATTAAGTTTACCGGATTTTATAGATTTAACCGACATTTTTGAGATTAGCATGCGCTCAAATTTGTCCTAACGTCGACCGGAAAATGACTCAGTTTTTTTTTCAAAACTAGGGTGCTCATCCGTCATTATATACTGCGCGCTTTGCTTAAAACATACATATATTTTTCTTCAGGAATTTCATACAGAAAAAAAAACTATAAAACCGACTTTTTGAGAAGCATTTCACCCCTGTATGTTATTGAGCCAGGTGGGTTTATAAAAACCTTTGGGTAGTCGCTACAGCAGGCCACAGACATGTTCAGTTTTAACGTTTTGTTTCTAATCATGTTCAGTTAGAAGTGCAAGCCTGCAATATCAAAAATACAATGCATTAGCCAAGTATTGATAAAAACAAAATAATATGTTTTTACACCCAATATTTTCTACCCGAACATGTCTATGCTCTCCAATATTTTCTACCGAACATGTCTGCACTCCACAAGTTGAGTGTAAGCCAGGTAAACACAGAGAGAGAGTTGTTTAAGCAGATAGATAGATTATTCTGATAGACAGATATATACATATAGATAGATAGATAGAGTAGAACTTACCCGCGCCCAGCCTATATGCTTCAGGTGTCAACCCTCCCCCCCCCCCCAATATTCACTAGTGGTGGCGCGGTCCGCCATGATTTCCCCTTGGGTAGCACTAACTGTTCTTGGCCCAGACCGACCTTTTGATTCCCTTTCTATGCCTGTATTACCCTCTCCCCCCTCACCCTGCCCTTGGCTCGTACCGTCTTGAAGCGCCCCAGGCCCAGTATTCAGGCCAGGCCGATGTCTGGAACTGAAGGTTGAAACTTCTCTTCTCTACCTGAGCGCCCCCCCCCCTCCTGCCCCCATCCAGCCCGTCCTGAACTAAACTCAGTTTAAACCTGAAACATGAACTAAACCCGTCCCAGCTCCTTCTGCTCCTCCCTAAACCGTCCCTCTAATAATTTCAACCAAAACATCAAATCAGTTATATAAATATAAGTGTTGAACAGGGACAAATTGAACCCAGTGTTTTAAGTGTTGGATATTTAAATAAACTTTTACCATGGCTGCGTCAGTCGGACCTGAAAAAGAAACAAACTCTAAACAGGTTTCAATACATATTAGAGAGGATTCAGATTCAGAGCTGCAGGCGCTATTTGATATACCCTTAAAGGGGGGTCAGAGGCCGTTGCAAGTTCCCATGCGGATGCGAAACTTTCCGCCGTCGTTTTGGCAACCCCCTGTTCTAGGCTCTAAATCTCCTAGTGTACATAGTCGTGAAAACTCCTTGGATAACTCCTGTGGACCATTTTCCCCTGATCCAGTAGCATCTCCACAACCTCCTGTAGGAAAGGCTTCATTTAGAAATTCTTAAAGACATTTCTTAAACCTTAATCGTGTTTTATCCTGCATTGTCCCTAAATTGTTTATGATACATAGTTTAATTTATAATCCAAACCTAAAACTTCTTCGGAGCTATTATCTTTATAAAGCATAATGCACTTATGATTAAGTAAACAGAGTTGTTTTAAATTTCATTTTCATTTCCATTCAAAGTTTTTACATCTTCTTAAAACCGGTTACTTTTTAAATGTGCTATTCATTTTTTTATAACTTCTTGAAACAGTTGTACTAATGGGTTAAATTTTATATTTAAAGATGTATTATTAATTGGTTGGTTGATGAATTGATGGATTAATTGAGTGATTGATTGATTGGTTAATTGATTGATTGGTTGATTGATTGATAAATGAACCTGACTGTCTGCAGGTCATCATAGTAGAGCAAACTCATGTCCAGCAAACCTTGGGCAAACCTTGGCAGTCTCTCTTCAGCATCAGGTACCTGCAGGACCAAGCAATGAGGACTTAGGACTAAGGTCGTAGGACTTATGTTGTATGGTAGGACTTAGTACTTTGGGCTCAGTACCTAGGACGAAGGACATAGGTCAGGACTTAGAACTTAGGGCTCACGTGGATTTAACGGTTCTGTCAATATTTCAGAAAACTGTGACTTTCGATCAAAATTTGACCCCTTTTAAATAATTTTATAGTCTTTTATTTTAAATATTTTTTTTGTTGGCATATACATTTTGATGAAAAAGTATTAAACAAACTAATCTGTAAGTCTTAAGCCTCTTGAGTTATATTCGAAAACACAATAAAAGAAACCGAATGCTTCTCTCTCTAGTTAGTTCAGGGTGGGCTCAGGTCTTACGACTTAGGACTGTGATCTTAGATCTAAGGACTAATGATTTAGGTCGTAGGACTTAGGACTAAAGACATTTGTCTTAGGGCTTAGAAATGTTGTTGTTTGGACTTAAGGTATAAGGAGTTTTGTTAAGTCGTAGGACTTCTGATTGTTAAAGCTTTTTCTTAGATTTTAGGACTTTTCTTAGATTCTAGGACTTATCTTAGATTCTAGGACTTTTCTTAGATTCTAAGACTTTTCTTAGATTCTAGAACTTTTTTTAGATTCTAGAACTTTTCTTAGATTCTAGGACGTTTTTTTAGATTCAAAGACTTTTTTAGATTCTAGGACTTTTCTAAGATTCTAGGACTTTTTTAGATTCTAAGACGTTTTTAGATTCTAGGACTTTTCTTAGAATCTAGGACTTTTCTTAGATTCTAGGACTTTTCTTAGATTCTAGGGCTTTTCTTAGATTCTAGGACTTTTCTTAGATTCTAAGACTTTTCTTAGATTCCAGGACGTTTTTAGATTCTAAGACGTTTTTAGACTCTAGGACTTTTCTTAGAATCTAGGACTTTTCTTAGATTCTAGAACTTTTCTTAGATTCTAGGACTTTTTTTAGATTCTAGGACTTTTCTTAGATTCTAGGACTTTTCTTAGATTCTAGGACTTTTCTAATATTCTAGGACTTTTCTGAGATTCTAGAACTGATTCTAGAATAAGGTAATTAGGTTAAGAAATAGAATGTGAAGGAAAACAATAGAAATAATTAATGGATTTAGAAAATCAGAGCTTGATCATTAATTTATCTAAATGATTTTTAAATTTCCAGACTCGATTGCAACCGTACAATACCAGACTATAAGTTTACTCACAATTGCTTTTTTATGGTTTTTATAAAAAATACTCCACTGACAATGTTCTAGCGTAATTTCAAGTGACCCTACATGCAAAGATGGCAATGCCCGATTTACACCGGTACCCTTATAAGCTTTGTCTGATCAAATATGGTTAGATATCAATGTTTTTGTTTCTTTAACTTTTTATGTTTATTTTGTAAAGTGACTTGTGCATTTCTTGCTTTTTAAGATGCAATGGAGAAATTATGATTTAAACACTTACTGAGTCCAAAAAAATGAGATTATCTGTGCATGGATGGTTACTTGAAATTACGCTTACAGTCCCTTTAAAACAATAAGAAATCTCTTCAAACAGTTGCCGTGAAAAAATTAATGTACGCGTGTTAGTGAACGGTTTTATGAGAGGGGTTAACTGAGGTTTTAGACATAAGTCAGAATTGGGTTCTAAGAATTCATGGATATTTTCAAAATTATAATTTAAGTATTTTTCTCAAATGAATCATAAGGGAAAAATACCCCCATCCCCATCATATCTTTTTTAATTTTTTTTTTGATATTTAGTTTCTTATTCCTTTTGCATTTTAAAATATTTGCAACCCTATCTTTTTGCAAACCCCCTTTTCCATTTCTGCCCGCGCGATCTAATGTTTTCTGAGAAATGAATGAATTCAGGTGATTAAAAATCTTGAACGACAGTTTTCCCAATATGAAGGATACACGGTCAATTCAGGACATTTTATTACCACATTAAACCTTTATATCTGTAATTTAATCATTCATTCAAATAAAGGTTTGGTTTTATAAGATTTATGTCCTTTTCTAATCGTTTGGTTTATTTCAACCCATGTCTATCAACAAAAATTTTTAACGTATATTGAGACAATAATACATCTTAACTTGATATATTAATTTGTTGCAGTACACTGTACTGTTTTGCTAAGTGTGATGTTTTTTGTTTTGTCTTAAAAGCAATTTTTTTTGCATCTTTCAGTCGTATCTACCTTGAATCTTGAATCTTAATGCAATGCAGAGTTTATATTTTCAAATAGTACTTGTATCAGACTTTTAGATCTGTATCAAGGTTAATGTTTATTTATAGAATAAAAATACAGTTCTTTTAAATCATATTTATTCTTTTTTTTTCGATTTTTAAGAGCTTCAGAAATATTTTGATATTTTTTTATTTGTAATATAATATCAAAATATTTTTTTGTAACTTTAAAAAAGGGGTGGACATAATAGCTTAAATTAGTTTTGTAAAATTCAAATACTTATGATGCACATTTTCTAAATCTTTTTATTTTAATTTTTAGAAAGAATTTTTAAAAAGTTTTATTGAGTTAAACAATTCAAATTTTTTACAAGAACACTTCACCACAAGAAAAAATTAAAAAATTGCCTTTGCTTCTTTTTGAGTTTTAAATATTTACGTTTTTACATCCATTACATACAAGATAACGTATCGTGTTTTAAGAAATTGTTTTGCTACAATTTTGAAGAACTGATTTTCCCATGATAAATTTCCTAACGAACCCTCCGGCAATTAACGATAGAGCATGTTACAAAACATGTTACAAAAAAAGAAAGAAAACAAAAAAAGCACATTTTTGATCTTACTTCATTATTTTTTTCTACAATTTTTATTCACGTGATAAATAAACTCATGAATAAAGTTTTTAAAATCTAATTTAAACAAATATATTTTTTAAGTTATAACGTTTGAAAATATTTAACCCTGGGTCTCATTATTTGGGTATTGTTGTAATACGATAAGAAATCTCAAAGCTTGGCACAAGGGGGGGATGGTCGGCTTAACCGGTTAACAGAAGGGGGGGCATGCTTGACCATGGGAAGGGAGGGGGGAGGAGGCCTGCTGGGTTTAGTGGATTTGTAAATATTTTTTAGATTAACCATCGGTATTTGTCTACTCCTTACAATAATAATTATTTTCCCTTCTTTTAAGTTTTTTTCCATCTTGTAAACTATCAACTTAAGGAGTAAAATTAAATTTTTGTTTTCTCGGGGACCCTTGCTGGAGCCATGAACCGACCCTTTATATATTATAAGAGAAGGGAGGGGGGGGGGGGTCTGTAACCTTTGAAGATATACTAAAAGGACCCAAATTTACGACCTAATTTCAGTTTAAAGAGGTATAAAAACCCTCGCCCAAGGATTTATGATATGGCTGCAAAGACCGGTCCACCTTTAACTAACTTTTTCAACTTTTCTTGATTCAGAAGATTGACACTTGTGACACATACCCCCCTTATTAGTACAAATGGAAGTGTCAACTTGATTTTTAACAACTTATTTATTGCAGAATAATTGTTGTTTGTTTTAGTATAATACCATTATTAATGAACTGTATTTTTATTTCATTTTTATCCTTTCTTTAAATCTTTCTTATTTTTTTTTGTATGTTCAAACTTAAAGGACTATAGGTAGGGGCGTACAAGGGCTTTTGTTTAGGGGGGGGGCACAATTTGCGCGCGTAAGCGCGCAACGCAAAAAATTTTTTGGGGTCCCCCCCCTTGGCAACAGTATGCCCGCCCCTTAAAAACCCCTTTTTTGAAAAAATATTGATACCTTTTTTATTTTTTTTGCCCCCCTCCCACCTGGACTTGTTTTGTTCACCATAAAAATACCATAAATCATTAAAAATTATATTTTTACTAATAAACGAAATTTCTTCTGAAATTTTTAGATAGAATTTACACTATCTTCATATTCACCATCTCTTTTAAGCTACAATTTTCTGGGATTTGATTGCACAAACATTTCAATGATTTTTTTCAGTAGAGAGCTCAGACAGCCTTATAGGGTGTAAAGCTATAAGTGCAAGATCGTTAAGTCTGCTCTCCGTCATAGTACATCTTGTGTAATGAAGTATTCTCTTTAGAAGGCCAAAACTTTTCTCTCCTTGTGTTGTCAATGAATTCAGACAAATCCTTAGTCTTTGTCATTGTCAGGTGTTACTTTTTAAACGTAGTTTCCTTTTAATTTTGTATTTTCCAGGGGGGGCAGTGCCCCGCCTGGAACTCCCAGGGGGGGGCAACAGGACTACTGCCCCCTAGGTACGCCACTGTGCCTGGCCTGAGGAAGGGAAATGCAAGCAGATGTAATATTAAAAGAGCCTCCCTCATGGGTGCCCCCTCTCAGCCTCTCAGGGGGGGCACGCATAGAGGGGGGCGGGGGGGCCCGGCCCCCCCCCCTCGTACGCCCCTGACTATAGGCGTAATTTCAACTGACCCTCCAGGGACTGTCATATTAACAAGGATACCCTTAAACCGATCATCTGATCAATAATGTGGAAGATAACATTGGAAAGTGTAATATGCAGTGCTTAGGATCCGGATCCGGATCTGTTGGATCCGCAAGATTTTGGCTTCCTGGATCCGGATCCGCAAAAATATGCAGATATCCGGATCCAAGGGGTAAAATATCAACCAAAAACGGCAAAAAAAACTTTTTTACTCCTAAAACCCAACTCTGAACTTTTGAAAAAAAGAGATTATAAAAATAAAAATGGTTCTTAAGGTTTAAATAAGCGAAAAAATAAAACAAAAAAATTGAAAATTATTTTTTGTTAAAAAAAATCAGTAAATCTTGAAAATAACCTGAAATAACCTGGATCCGGATCCGAATTTGGATCCGGATTCATTTTCTTCCAATGCGGATCCAGGATCCGGATTCGCATCAAAATTAAACGGATCCTAAGCACTAGTAAAATGGAAGTGCGCAATTCACTATTGTAAAGAAACTACAATTGAAAATAATCCGTTTTTAAAGACAAAAACTTGGATATTTTTAATACTTGATCACACTAAGCTTTTAGGGGTTCTGTTAAAAATCGGACATGCTACTCTGCAAAAGGAAGGTTATTTAAAAATAAGTCTTCATTCCGTTTTTGTAAGCTCATTTAAAACTACGAACGGAGAATTTAAGATATCAAAATTTGTTGGATACTCCCAACAATCGAAATTTCGTAATGCTTTGGGTAGGTTTATGTTACGAACCAAAATAGACGGCCAGATACTTGAACAGTTTAGTATTAGCAACATTTTGTTGATTCAATTACAGGGTGTATATTCTTAAGAATTACCCCCATTTTAAAGACTATAAAATTCATTGAAGAATTATGGCGCTCCGCAAAAAAACTTCCAGGAGGGAAACCAAATTTAAAAGGGGGGGGGTGGAATAATTTTAATGAAAGTAATACATCCCTGGATTCAAAGTTTAACCATGTAAAGGCACATAAAGAAAGTATAAATCAATAAAGGCATTTATTTTAGCAATGCAAGTGAATGCAATAAAGTAGAGAATAGTATATTCTTGAAATTAAACAGATCTAGTTTTTTTCTTTAAGGATCCCACAGCTCCGTTTTGTGATTAATGGATCCGGACTAGCGTATTATAACCTTTTTTCAAGATTTAATGATTTTTTCTTATATTTTACTGATTTTTCCAGAAATGGAGTTTGATTCAAGCTCAGTTAGAATTCAAAAAAATCTTATGTTGCAATTTTGATGTGTGCAAAGCAAGACAGTGCTAAACATAATTACTGCTGGAAAACGAGATTTTTTGCTCAAGGCTAGTTTTAAACCTAAATACTTTTGTAATTATACAAAAGTATTTGCTCTACTTTTCATTTTACATGTACAATGTACATGTTATATCGTACACTTAATATTTGGCATGTACAAGTTTACAGTTCACTTTTTTCATATACATATTATAGTTCGGGTAAAAATTATGTTTTGTTTCTTTGATGGTTTATTAACATTTTTTGAATAGACTTATGCAGGTTTTAAATATTAGTTTTTACCCATTTCCATAAACTGTTAGGATCTAAAATTAATGGCATTAATAAAACTAATTTATTTTTAATAAATTTGGTAAACTGCGTACCNAATTAACTCTTCAAACTTTTACAATAGGAAAAAGAGAATTAACGAGGTTGGTAGTTGGAAATTATCACGAGATATAAATCATTTCTTATCAGTCTTTTGATTTAACACTTGACAATTGCGAATTAGAAATAGATAAAAGACAAAGTATTAATTTTTTGATTGATTCTTAATTTTAGAAGTTTTTTTAGATAATGCGATTGTGAATTATCTTTTTCTTAAACATAATTGAGCTGTTGGAGTCCAATTCAACAAAAAGAGTCAAGATTATAAATGAAATATTATTGTTCAATTGTTTTTGATTTTTTTTACCTTTTTTATATTTGGATATATAATTAGGTTTTTGATGTATTTACAAGTAAAAAAAAAATTAGTTATCTTTTCTGTAACATAATTGAGTCTTTAAGAGTCCAAATGAATTAAGAGGTGTCAAGATTATAAATTAATTATTATGAGTTAAATTTTTTATTCTTTTACTTTTTTAATATTTGGGTACATTTTCCTTTTCGTACTTTAGGTGTAATGTCCTGATATGTGTGAGATCTGCAGTTTTAAATATGATGATGATCATATCGACTAAAAATGTAGTTTTGATCACACGTTTTTAAACACATGAATACAGGGTGACCCACATCATATTGGAATTACGTCCAACAAAATACTTTTAAGAACCCTGTATAGTTTCAGACAAATCACAAATTAAACAATGTCCTGTATAAATGTAATCTTAAATGTTTAAGTTTACTAGAAACTACCATGAATGAAAGATAATAGCTGAATAAGATAGAAATAGCATATTTTATTTTTAGTGTCTAGCTATCTAGTTATATTTGTGAAGAAGAAATGGTTAAACCAATTTTAAAACTTTATACATTTAACTTGAGATGTTTAAATTCAAAATTTTGAAATTAAACCTTAAACTTGGATAATTTGCATTCTAGACTCAAATATTTTTAACAAATATTATTAAAATCCATTGTAGCAATAAATCTACAACACAAATGAAAACATTTGTTTTACCATCAAATTTGAAATGTTTTTTAATCTTCACTCTTCAGATCAAATGTAATTTTTTGATGAATTTACCAAACCGTGCAAAAGTTATTAATTATTAAAACAACAATTATTTTATCTCACACTGCAAACAATTTTATTTATTTAATTGAATCAAATTTCAGGAAAAATTCTTTTAAAAAAATTTAAAGCTTCGTATGAATGTAAAACCCGAAATGAATACTAAATAGGATATAGAAAAAATCAATAAAGTAATTAGTATAGTAAAGAAACAGGAAAGTAGGAAAAGATGAAAAAATCGGAAAATCATGAAAAAGAAAGAAGAACGGAAATAAAACGAAAATGGAACCAAAAAAAAACAGAAAAAAAATCAAATAAGAACGCAAAAAAAAGAAGAGAGAGATAGTTTAACAATTAATAAATAAATAGAAACTTTATTTAGAATCATGCTCTACAGAACCATCATCTCCGACAGCAGAGCTACGATGTAGGAGGAGGAGGAGATGATCTAGGACCTCTGCCCCCTGGCTGGGAGATGGCCAAGGCACCCAACGGACAAATTTATTTCATGAATCATATTACAAAGAGTACACAATGGGAAGACCCTAGAAAGGTAAACTACTTATTTATTAAAATATCTGTAAAATAACATCATCTTCATATGAAATTTAATATTTGAAGAAGCCTCAGAAATTTAAAAGTGTTCCATCTAAACCTTGTATTATATTATATTCAAGGGGGGATGTTGAATTTGAGACACACTGTACTGCGTGGTAAATATAATGATAAAAAATGTTTAAATTAACACAGTTGGTTAAACATAAACAAAAAGTGTAATTAAGCTATGGGGAAAATTATGAAAACCTGGCCCCCTCAGATTAATTTTCCCTCACGAGGATTATACTTTTCTATGTGATATTTATATTGTATAAAAACTAATCTTCGTGCAATAAATATTTGATTTGATTTGATTTGATTTGATCTATGTGCAGCTTTTTTGGGTTTCCAAGAAACCTACAGCTCTTGGTTTCCAGGAAACATGAAGCTCCTGGTTTCAAGGAAACATGCAGTTCCTGCTCTCCAGAAAACTTGTGGCTCATGGTGTCCAGGAAACCTGCTTTTTTGGGTTTCCAGGAAACCTACAGGTCTTGGTTTCAAGGAAACATGCAGCTCCTGGTGTCCAGGAAGCATAAGGAGAAAAACACTCAACATAAGAATGCTCACCATTGTTTGTGGGCTTCATTGCTTCCTTTTAAAGGGAGTGACCGGCAATGCATGGTGGTTGAACTGAATATGTATTATTGTAGACAAATCTTTTAGGATTTATTTGAGATATACAAAACGTTTCTAGGACGTATATTTACATATATATATGTACAGCAAACACATTAGTTGTTTAGGAACAGATTGAGAAAATAAAAATTAACTCTTATCATCGAAAATAAGTAATCTTATTCAATACTGTTTGAGTTTTGTTAAAAAAAGCAGGAATAGGATTAATTAATTTTTTTAAAACCGATTTTGAAGTTCATGATTTTTTAACGTCGACTCTGCACTCAAATTAATTAATTATACATCCTGGAAACGTTTATATATCTCAAATGAATCCAAAAAACTTGTCCACAATACTGCATACTCAGTTCAACCTACATACATTGCCCGTCAGTCCCTTTAATAAGACTATTATATGCCTCCCCCCCCTCTTTCTCCTTGACCGATTCATTCTAAAAATTTCCTTACTTCTTTTTTTCCCCAATTTGCACAGTTTTCCACTAGAATCAACAAAACCTTTGCACTTTAGTTCATGTCGTAATAGCTGGATAAATACTAAAACTGTTCGGGCAAAATTAGGAAAATTGTTCAAGAAATGAATACCGAGTTCAATTCATATTAGTAAATTCAAAAATGACACATTTAAGGTTAAAAATGGCCAAAAATATTGATGAAAATTGAAAATTGAGTGACGTATTTATAGGCCTTATCGTTGACAAGCTCCGGTTTAATAAAGAAATTTATTAAATCGGCCTTGTTTATTGTTATCAGTTTATTGAAGGGCTCCTTGAGTAAATTATTATTCCGTTGTGTATACACTGCTATCACAAATGATTTATGGCTTTTTAATTTAATTTAGACTTTTATAGCCCAGGTGCTTTATTACAGGGTTTGATACCGCAAACTCTAGACTTGATTAGCCACCCCCCCCCCTCCCCTGTTTTTTATTACGTCCGAGAAGCAAAACTAATATTTTACGATAAATCATTCATTAAAGTGTAATGTACATATTCTCTGCTACTCTTAATCTTTTCTGCAGCTCTCCTCCATTCTTATCTTTAATTTTCACTTTTTATTTAATTCTGTTTTCTTCCGCATTCTCTCTTCTCATGCATTCCTCTTTTCTCTTCCTCTTTTCTTTTCCTCTTTTCTCTTTTCTCTTCCTCTTTTCTCTTCCTCTTTTCTCTTTTCTCTTCCTCTTTTCTCTTCCTCTTTTCTCTTTCTCTTTTCTCTTAATCTTTTCTCTTCCTCTGTTCTCTTTCTTTTTTCTCTTCCTCTTTTCTCTTCCTCTTTTCTCTTCCTCTTTTCTCTTCCTCTTTTTTCTTCCTCTTTTCTCTTCCTCTTTTCTCTTCCTCTTTTCTCTTCCTCTTTTCTCTTCCTCTTTTCTCTTCCTATTTTCTCTTTCTTTTTTCTCTTCCTCTTTTCTCTTTCTTTTTTCTCATCCTCTTTTTTCTTCCTCTTTTCTCTTTCTCTTTTCTCTCCCTCTTTTCTCTTCTTCTTTTCTCTTCCTCTTTTCTCTTTTCTCTTCCTCTCTTTTCTTTACTCTTCCTCTTTTCTCTTACTCTTTTCTCTTTTCTCTTCCTCTTTTTTCTTCCTCTTTTTTCTCTCTGATTTTTTAGCATTTGTTCTCTCTGTCTTCTCGTGTTTTTTTCCCTTACCGTTCTTTTTTTTGTGGCATTTTTGCAAAGAAACTTCTTCTGTCCTTAGATGGGAATTTTTTAGTAGAATTATGTAGTTGAACTATGTAGGACAAGTTCAACTTTATCTCCTGTTCTTAACTTGAACCAATAGTTGAACCAGCCGAACCTAGCTGACTCTGTCTATTCATAAATTGCCAACCATGAGTACTTAAATCATGAAGTTAAAATGGCGAGGTACTTCCATCTTTTTCAATTTGAGTCACGCATACTCTCTCCCTTTTTACAATGTTTGAATAGACCATCATGTTAAACCAAACTAACTATTAAGGAGCTCTTGAAAATGTCGGTTCTTCCTTTATTAAGATTTTTCGAAGCCAACCCATTCATCCATTCACCCATTCACCCATCCTCTCATTCACCCCATTCAACCTTGCACGAATTCACCCATTCACTTATTCACCCCATTTACTCATTCTCCAATTCACTTATTTAGACCATTCTCTCAATCCCTCATTCCCCCCCCCCCCTGTCACTAAGCTATGGGGAAAATTATGAAAACCTGGCCCCCACAGATTAATTTTCCCTCACGAGGATTATACTTTTCTATGTGATATTTATATTGTATAGAGGGGGGGGGGGCATGAGTTTTATTTTTAGTTACTTACTAATTATACTCACTTTTAAATACATAGAGAGGCTGATTTTAATCAAGTAATGTTTACTTTAGGTTTAACATGATTATTAAATATAAAGTTTAATTTGCCATGAGAATTAAATACAGTGAATTACCTAGTGCCGTGACAAGGCTGAAAGTTTACATAGTTTAATAGAATTGTTAAATTTGTCCTAATATGTTATTTTGAGCGTCCTAATATGTTAAATTGTCCTAATATGTTAGTTTGAGCGTACTAATATGTTAAATTTGTCCTAATATGTTAGGTCGAGCGTCCTAATATGTTTATTTGTCCTTATATGTCAGTTTGAGCGTCCTAATATGTTAATTTGTCCTAATATGTTAGTTTGAGCGTCCTAGTATGTTAATTTGTCCTAATATGTTACTTTGAGCGTCCTAATTCCTAGAGGTTTTTATCAAATAAATTAATTGCCTTTTATCGAAAAAGAATCAGTAATATTCTTAATTTAAAACATGACAAGACGGGTTGATTGTTAAATCCTTATACCTTTGCGACCTAATGTCGTAGATTAATTAATCTAAGTTTGAAGGTTTACACCATCAGTTTCCGAAGATATAGGGATTTGATAATTAGAATTTGTGGCAAAAACATAATTTCTTCAAGAAATCATTTGCTGATTTTCCTGTTTAAATGATTTTGCCCGTCAATCCAGTCTAAATTAGAATATTTCCTGTCAAAATAAAGTCATGACATTTTCTTATCAACCATTTTGCAATAGTTACAAAAGGTTTATTTGACCTGAATTCGAATTAAGCTTTTTCTCTGGCTGGGTTTCTGTTTTCCTGGGTTTAGGGTTTTATACCTCGCAATAAAACGATTAAAGATTCAGCAAAAAAAGGTTTTATTGTTCAATTTAAACATAATTTTATGTACACATAATTTGTAATAAAAAATGTTAAACATTTTATGTTAAAATTTGTAATATAAAACTGAATCAAATTTTGGTTTAATAAATTTTCACAAAGGATTAATAGATTTTTTCTTTCATTCTTTTTTTCATCTATCTTTCTTTCTTTTATTAAATTGTTTTCCATCATTTGCATGAAAAAGAAATAGTCTTTCCCATAAACCCTAGCATTGGGTTGCAAAGATATAGGATAAGAAAATCAGAGTTTATGACAAAGACTTACAGGAATTCCTGTATCATATTCATTATATCGTGTATATATATATTTATGTGTCAAGAAATCCACCAATAAGTAGAAACCTCCATATCTTTGTTTACGCTTAAAGTGTACTTCCGTTTCTGAGAGGAATGTAAACAAACTCAAACTGCGTTATTTTTTCCTCCGTGAGCCCCTTTCATGTTAATGAAGATATGGGGGATCCTTGTACATTCAGATTGGAAACTACCATAAATTAAAGTGAATGCAGTTTCTGGGAGATATTTAAGCGAAGCTTAGTCTGGGCAGTCCGCACGTGTTTACAATCCTCCCAGAAATTGCAGTACACTTTAGTTTTTGTCAGTTTATAATATTCCTTTCATCTTTCTTTCCATCAGTCTATGCATACTTTGCGTTTATCTACCTATACTACCAGTCTTTATATCTATCCGCATCCTACATATATTTATATACATATATACATTATACATAGCTATCTTGCTAGGCTATCCATCTATCTTTTTATCTGTCTAGGCTATCCAGCAGCAGATGTTAAATCAACTGAATGGCACGGCATCACCCCGTAGCTCAGCGGTCAGTTCTCCGGTTCCTAATGGACAAGGAGGAGTAGATCTAGGACCTCTTCCACAGGTAGATCAACAGCTTTATCATGACAGGCCAGAACTTTTAGATCAGGATAGAGTTAACTCATTATTCACGACAAAAACTGTTGAATTCGAGGAGTTAACTATTTAGTTAAATTAAAATTAGATACTAAAAAGTTATAATTGAGGAAACTTGGAGACATTTTAGATTTAGTGCTTAAGCAAGACCTAATCTATACCAAAGTTACGGCCTCAATTCTAAATAACTCAAACATTTCCATTTTATAAATATGATTTTTTACCATTAAAAATGTTTCTTATCTATTTTATCTTCCTGAGGGTCGATGCTTTTGAACTCCTTGAAGAAATAAGAATAATGTGAGAAAAGTAATAAATAAAAAAATAAAATTTTAATTTGTTAAGGGTTGGGAGCAGAGTGCTACCCCTGAAGGAGAAATGTACTTTATTCATCATCTTACAAAAAGAACAACTTGGTGAGAAATTAAATTAAACATGTATTTTATAGTTAGCTTGGGAACCTACCTTCACCTGGAAACTAATTAAAGTCTACTTTCTTAATTTAGAAGTTTAAACCGAGTTAAGAAATTTCCCGTGGTTCTACCGAATTCCACAATAAAAATTCGAGGCAAACTGGTCAAGGGGTTCATAAGTTATGATCGGATATTCAAACAAACAGACAAACAGAAACCCAAACAAAAATTACTACTATATATATTTAGAAACTCATGAACCCTTAAAAGATTTTCTTCAATTTTAAAATTTGGGGACGTCAGAACCACGAAACATTTTTAGTTGAATTGATCGAATTTTTTGGGTCGTCTTCCAGATCGAAGAAAATTTTCTATATATTCTGACAAAGCTGGGTTCTCGATATCAAGTTTAAAGTTTATACATATATATAAACTTTAAAGAAAAAAAACGTGATATTTGTTCATTATTGTCCAATTGTGTTGCAATTGCAATTACATAAAAAAATTGTCTTACTTTCATAACTCGAAATCAGTGAAGAATTCTTAATATCATATTTTTTCTATTTCTTAATTTGATTTTCTATAATAAAATTAGTTTGGTTCCTATTATAAACTTAATTCTATTTTCGCCCTGGTTCCCCAAGTAGTTGTTTGTAATTAATGTGAGATTATTTGTTAATATTCTCAAATTTAAACTTCTTAACAATAATATTCTTCATTAATCTGATATTTAAAGAATCAATTTTTCATTTTCTAAATTTATCTCTTTTCACGGATCCATATTTATTTACTTATTTATTTACTGCTATTGATCCTCAAATACAGGGCTATAGAGGTCTTTAATAGTTAATTCCTCACCATCCAGAAATAATCCTTAATGATATGGATCAGGGGTGTATGGTTTTTTGACAAATCATTCCACCCCTTTAAATGTATTTTTATGTTTTTTTTCGCTGAATAAATGTTTTTCAGGGGAAAATGAATAAAAATTTGGTTTTTAAATATTAAATATTTTGTGAAAAAACTTGCCTGTCAAACTTTTTATTTTTCCCACAGAGCATTGAAAATTAAGCATTTTTTGAAAATAAACCATTGATTTATTATCCAGATATAATCCTTGAATGATGTTTTGATCCCTAATTATCCAGATATAATCCTTTCATAATGTTTTGATCCCTTATTATCCAGATATAATCCTTGAGTGATAATTCAGATGCAATCCCTGAATTCTGCATTAATCCCCAAATATCTAGGTATGATCCCAGAATCCCAATCCATGCTCAGCAGGTTCCATTAAAACAGAGACAAGAATCCACACATGCTCAGGTAACCTAGACCTGGCATTGCCCCCCCCCAGCTGACCCTCCCCAAATAGCTGACTAAGCGATGGTGGTATACCAGAGCTGAATCGTAATACCCTGAACCCACAGGGATATCCAGAAAAGCGAAAATAGGAAGACGACATTAAAGTATAATAACTAAATCTATTTGAAAGAAAACGTTTTTCTCTTAAGTCATGAACTACAATGGGTCATTATAACTGGCACGCTCATTGAACTGGAGTTTAAAAGTCGTCTTCATATTCTAGAGTTTTCTGGTTCTCACTGTATAAAAAAAAACTTCAGACTTAAAGGGACTGTTCACTTATTTGGGTAATTTGAGGATTAACTAAATAGCCTATTAGCTATTCATTGGTATTACTTTTCACTACTTACTACTGTTCTGAAAAAAACGTTTAAATAGTGTCTATGCAAAGGTAGCATACATTTCCTCTGGTATTCAGATTTTTTTCTGGACATTTTCTTTGAAAAGTAAGAAACACCAATGAATTGCTAATAGGCTAATTATTTTTCCAAATAAGTGAACGGTCCATTTAATTCTCTCGATCTAAACCTTTAAAAGAATAACCTTACTATATCTGAACCTTGACCTTAACCTTGTTGCTCTAAACCTGAATTAACCTAAACCTTAATATTATTTTAAACTGAACCTTTATCTTTACCTGGAACTTTAATAATGAACCTAAACCTTAAAGAGAGACAGACTCCAACGACACCTTTACCTGGAACTTTAATTATGAACCTAAACCTTAAAGGGAGACAGACTCAAACGACACCATAGCAACAAGAAAGTCGTCGTTTAAAGAACATCGTATACGAAATAATTAAAAAATATTATGAAATATCAACTACATACGAATGCATCGGGAAAAAAAATCGATGATTATTCTGAAAGATTTGTTTGGAATTAAATAGATTTTTTAACGATCCAAGCTGAATATTGCAACTTTCTGAATTTGTATGGACGCATACGTTCTTCGGTATTATAGTCCTTTTTAACAATTTTCTCCTTATGGACGCAATCTAGATATAAGTAAGATTAGTAGCAATCGCCATCGAATTTTTTAGACGTAAGGCGAACACTCCCTTTAAACTAACCTGAAAATTTACCTAAACCTTTAAAATTGGCAAGAACCTGGGCTTAAACCTAAAATAAGCCTAAACCTTGCCATAACCCTACAAAATACTAATCCTAAGATAAACCTAAACATTGCCACAGACTAATTAAAAACCAAACAGAAAATGAATCTGAACCTCACGTGTTGTTTAACTGTAGGCCCAAAAGCTGCAGCAGGAGGCTCGACTGCGACGGTTGGAGAATGAGCGGCGTGTACTGCAACAGAAGAGAGCAGAGCTAAACCAGTTTATCACCAGACAACAACAAGAGAGTCCCTAGTTTATTAGAATGTATCATCTACAAGCAGAATTGTAGTTAAACACATTTTAGTTCGGAAGATATTTCACGCTTCAAGTTTTTAAACATTAAATTTAATATTTGTTTCACATTTTTCACCAAATCACATCAAGCAAATCTCTTATTTGCAACCTGTTCTTGAAATAACTGTAATGTTTATAATTAAAAACATTTAAAGAGTTAGTACATTATAGTTGAAACTCTTCCAATATTTTTCTTTAATTTCATGAAACTATTTGAACTAAAAAATAAAAAGTATGAAATAATATAATAAATAAATGGTTACAACTAGTTATAAATATGCAAAAAAAAAGTTGATAAAAATTATGATAATTATTATAATGATAATTATAATTTTTATAATAATAATAATAATTATGATAATAACCCATTATGACAACATAAATAATTATTATACTATTCCTATATAAAATGATCGTTATGCACAACTTTAAAGTTTTTAGCAAATATTTTTTTTGATGTTTTCTATTAATAATAGTACAATAATAATAATAATTATTTTTCAGGAAATGATGATGCGACACACCCTCTCTGAGGGCGGAACGAAGCTTGACCCTTTTTTGGCGCAAACAAACGGAGATCCTCATATTCGTCAGGAGTCAGCTGATAGTGGTCTTGGGATGGGATCATTCCCAAACCTTGGGACAATTAGTGAGGATATGGGTAGGTTAATCATTATATTTGGGACAATTAGTGAGGATATGGGTAGGTTAAACATTATATTTGGGACAATTAGTGAGGATATGGGTAGGTTAATCATTATATTTGGGACAATTAGTGAGGATATGGGTAGGTTAATCATTATATTTGGGACAATTAGTGAGGATATGGGTAGGTTAATCATTATATTTGGGACAATTAGTGAGGATATGGGTAGGTTAAACATTATATTTGGGACAATTAGTGAGGATATGGGTAGGTTAATCATTATATTTGGGACAATTAGTGAGGATATGGGTAGGTTAATCATTATATTTGGGACAATTAGTGAGGATATGGGTAGGTTAATCAATACGTTTTGTTTTTTTTATCCCAAACCATTAGATTAGAGTACAAATCTGATATGACAACATTTTATTGAGAATTATTCTGGTTTGGGATAATAGGTAGGTCAAGGATAAGAGTAGGTCAAGAATAGGACTAGGTCAAGGAAAGGAGTAGGTAAAAGATAGGAGTAGGTCAAGGGAAGGAGTAGGTAAAGGATAGAAGTAGAGTTAAAGGATATGAGATAGGAGAAGTTCAATGATAGAAGTAGGTGAAGATCAGGAGTATGTCAAGGATAGTAGTAGGTCAAGATTAGATGTATGTCAAGAATAGTAGTAGGTCAAGATTAAGAGTATGTCAATGATACTGCAGTTGGTCAAGATTAGGAATATGTCAAGGTTATAAGTAGGTCAAGATTAGGAGTATGTCAAGATTAGATGTATGTCAAGGATTGTAGTAGGTCAAGATTAGGAGTATGTCAAGGATTGTAGTAGGTCAAGATTAGGAATATGTCAAGATTAGGAGTATGTCAAGATTAGGAGTATGTCAAGGATAGTAGTATGTCAAGATTAGGAGTATGTCAAGATTAGGAGTATGTCAAGGATAGTAGTATGTCAAGATTAGGAGTATGTCAAGGATAGTAGTAGGTCAAGATTAGGAGTATGTCAAGGATAGTTGTAGGTCAAGATTAGGAATATGTCAAGGATAGTAGTAGGTCAAGATTAAGGTGCCGGAAATTTATTATATTTCTATATTTAGGAATGGAAAATATGGATACAGACCTGGATACAACTCTTACAGATACAAACCAACAGATACAGATACAGCAACAGGTATAGGATTTTGATACACACACCAATAAACAGATACAGGTACAATCCTACAAATACAGATACAAAAATAAGTATAGAATAGTGATACCAGATACAAACAACAAATACAGAAACAACAATAACAGGATAAACAAATAGAAACAGATACAAATCAATAGATACAGATGCAAGCCAACAAATACAGATGAAATCCAACAAATACAGATGAAATCCAACAAATACAGGTACAAACCAACAAATACAGATACAAACCAACAAATACAGATACAAACCAACAAATACAGGTACAAACCAACAAATACAGGTACAAACTAACAAATACAGATACAAACCAACCAATACAGATCAAACCAAGAAATGCAGGTACAAACCAACAAATACAGGTACAAACTAACAAATACAGATACAAACCAACAAAAAACCGATACAAACCAAGAAATACAGATACAAACCAATAGACATAAGATATTGGAGCATACACTACACTACACATGCAGTCCAATACAAAACCACAATTAAACAGATTAAGCGCAAACTATGTTTAATATATTTGTTTTTAGCAAGGGATGGATACAGAGGAGCTGATCCCTACCCTGCCTGAGCTCGGAGAGGAGCTGAGCAGAGACTTTATCAACACCATCTTCAACACCAACACACCCGTAGAGAACGAGCTCACCTGGCTCTAGAACCTCAACAGCAACGTGATGTTCATCATCATCGTTCAATCAAGTTAAATCAAAGACAAAATATCAACTTTTATAATCGAGTCCAGATATCGTTACGCATTTAATGCGTACAGTTCTCTGCGTATTCGTAGACAAATAATCAAACTGCGTGAAACTCTTCACACGCTAGAGATTGGAGAGTGACACATGTCAAATCATATACGCACGTTACACAATAATTTCGGTTGTCCAGTGCACACTAATGCATTTTTTGCAATGTAAAAATAGTTCATTCTTTCTAATAACAATTTCAGGAACCTTTTTACTTGTGCTTGACCTTATAAGGGATATTATATATTCTATATCCCCTCCTCCCTCTCCAAATGAACATTAAATGCGTATGGTTTGTGGAGGTGATTTTTTAACATGAGTGAATTTTTTTTCTACCAGTTGGCAGAGACGCCTTAATTAAAATTACCAAATCCGTCCAATATGCCCTGATAGCGTTAACTTGGAAATGCTCACGTATAAACTGGGATATTTTCGTATATCTCTTTGCATTGTTTAGATATCATGTAGCACTGCATATTAATTTAGGAATTGTTATGATTACTAAACTGAAAAATCCTCGATTGCTGACATTTCTAAAGGTTGCAAAAAATCTGAAGAAAATTGACAAAACGCAGTTTTCACCAATATAATTCACCTTCATATATAAATAGCAATAATTTTGAGAACTAGAACAATATCTTGTGATTATTTATTCAAATGTTTTTTTAACAATCGAGAGCCTTAATTTTGAAAAGGTTCCGTCCAAAAGTTAAATGGTTGTTCACAATTAAATCTTGGAAAGATAATTTAACGGCAATAGTTACTAAAACAAATCTCGCCAATTCGACTTTCAGCCATGAATTAAAGTTCCTTGAAAGGGCAGATATCATGAATTAAAGTTCCTTGAAAGGGCAGATATCATGAATTAAAGTTCCTTAAAAGGGCAGATATCATGAATTAAAGTTCCTTGAAAGGGCAGATATCATGAATTAAAATCCCTTAAAAGGGCAGATATCATGAATTAAAATCCCTTAAAAGAGCAGATATCATGAATTAAAGTTCCTTAAAAGAACAGATATCACCCAAAAAAAAACTTTTATTTCGGAAATATCTGCCCTCAAACATCCTTGCAGAATGCAGATGTCTTCCACATGTTTTCAAAATTTCTGTTTTTGAAAAAAGGTGATTTTTCTACTACAATGTGTTGTAAATATTTGTCTGAATATTGAAATCTTTTTCTCAATAATTAACTTTCTCTTGCCTGTGTAAACGAAAATGTTTTCACATGAAAATCTGCAATTTTTTCTGTATTACAGGACCATACTTTTATACCATGCTCATCAAATCCTTGAATTGTGAAATGAATCTGTTTTATTCAACATTTTATTGTGAATTAGGTTAAAAATCAGCCCGTGTACAAAAATCAAAATTATTTTGAATTTTGAAAAAGTGCCTCGTGCAGCTAAATATTGTAATAGTTTGTAAAAAATGCACATATGTAAATATCTGATTAGTGTGCCTTATCCTATAATGTTCCGTCCTATTATATATATATATTTTATATTATTATTTGAATATAGCCGGAAGGGGGGAACTTATTCTGCCCCCCCCCCCATTCCACTTGGATGAATAATAGTGCCTTTTATTAGTTTCCTTAACATGTTTGTTTTAATTCCAACTTTGTAATTTGCTGATAAAAAAGTTTGTGCCATATTTATGTATGCTTGTAAGCGTAGTAGTTGGATACAAATAGATTATCAAGTACAATAGGTGGCAACAGAGATATTAACCAATTATACACGACGTCACAATTGTCAAATATAACAAGGAAAGCGAATTTTTCTCACAGTAGTTGACATGTTTTCCAAGATTAAATAAAAAAAGTGTAAAAACAGAAACTAAAGAACACATAAAATTGCACTTATTTTATTGTAAGAAAAGCACTTTATTCTAAAATTATCACTATTATTGATGATTTTGTCGGACACAAAAACTGAATTGACACTTGTGACGACAGAATACAACTGTACTGAGAGTGTACAAATTCTACGTTGCCATCTATTGTACTAGAATCTATTTGGTTGGATAGAATTTGAACCCTTGAACTATTTAGATTTCAGGGCTTAATCATTTAATCAAAAACATGTTTTTATGTTTGAAAAAAAAACGTTTTTCCGGAACCTTTTTGAAAGTCCGACTCTTTAAAAAACGCAGCCTTTGGATTATGTGCATTTTCATATTATTATGATTACTATACAAAACTGTTTAATTTACGAGAATAAATTTTAATTAGAAAATGATGTTTATCTTTTGCTTTCTTACATTATCTACCATAGCCTACAGTGGTTCCCATAAAACTGTGGAATGGGGAGAAGAATATTAGATTCTAAATACTATGATCATGAATCAAATTAATTCTGCAGTCCTGATAGTCAAGCTCAGCCTCACAGTACACCATGTAAAGCCCATATTGTTGATAGTTAAAAGACATTGGTTAAACTGTTGGCTTAGTAATATGAAAAATGAATAAAATTGCTTGTTTTTTCTTTTCCACATTTTTGTGGGTCTCACTGTATTTAACGTAGACCACTGATAATATTTACCAAAGACTATGTAATACAGACCGCTGATATTATCGACCAAAGACTGTGAAATGTAGACCGCTGATATTATTTACCAAAGACAATATAATACAGACCGCTGATATTATCGACCAAAGACTAATAAGTGTAGACCGCTGATACTAAATGTGTATTCTAAAGACTAAATATATAATGAAGACCGCTGATACTATCTCACTTAGATTTAAACAAATCTAAAGATTAATTATCAAATTTTCAGACAGATTCTCGGCTTTAACTTGTTGAATTCACCTCGCCAACTCACGTATCCCATTTTGTAGATCTAGGCAAAACATTTCTTGCATAAGTGTAAAAGGATTAATTGGAAAAATACTGTTCTGGTTTTGCATGAGAGCGTGCACATTTTGGTTTGCAGTGATCACAGACTACACACTGCTCATACACTACCTGGATAGGCTGAGCAGGCCTATAGTGTCCCGGCACGCCATGCTACGGTTCCATGTAATGTTTTTTGACTGACATCTCACGGCCAATTGTTGCATTCAGGGGTAAAGTTTTACAACTTTTAAAGAAATACTCCAATTTTAAACATAAAACATAACGTTTATGAATATTGTCTATTTTTAAATTGATTTTGCATTTCACATTCAAAGGATCCTTAAATATCCCTGAATACAGATGTCTCCTGATTGGTCGTGAACTGTCCTTGTACACAATAGAACATGCTGTGGAAGTGGCATGTGCATTGTCCATATTCGACCAATGTACAATTCACAACGGTACCCTTATAATTGCTATTTCTGATTAAGTATGATTTTGATATCAATGTTTATACTTTTGAAAACTGTTTAAATGTGGATTATCTATAACAAAAGTTCCATTGAGCATTTCTACTGCAGGAGAACAATGTAGGAAATATCAAAAGTAATCATTTTTCAAGGAGAAAAACGACGTTATCTTCCGCATTATTGATCGGATCGGAAGGTATCAATCATGATTTGTTAATCGTACACGGCCTTCTTCATTCAAATGGAGTTAATTGAAAGTATAAAGATAATCCCTTTTAAATTTGATAAATTATATTCAACTTAATCTGTACCAGAGTCCGAATTTAATAAATTTGAGCCGCGTCTTAGATCCACCAAAAACCGGTTTCAATTGAGCGCCGGCTTAAATCTTGGAACAATTAATACAATTTTAAGTGAAACTAACTATTACTTGAACTGCGTCTCAAATATAAACCGCGGCTCAAATTCTTTAATTTCGGCCTCAGAATGCTGTTGTTCTAACCGAGTCACGTCATTTATAAGTAGCTCTGTAATTGCTCGAACAAGTCTACAGGGAATGACGACATTTAATGCCATTGCTTCTAATTTCAAAATTGGGCGACAGAGACTCCCTGCCCTCCTGGAATCTACACGCTACAGTTGCCAACTAAAGATGATACTTTAAAGAATTAGAAAAGGGATTCAATAAAAAAAATTTGGGGTTGATTTTTTTGCCTTTAAATAAAATATACTTCTTGGTGGTGTGGTAGGCAATTATATCTATACAATATAGGGCTCTGGACAAATTCTAACAATTTCAACCCTATTTCACTAACGGTTAATTTTATTATCAGAACATACCATCTTTTTCGGCTATCCGTCCGTTCTGTTCAGCTATGTTTTCCCCCATTTTTCTGAAAGTTACCATTCTTTAACGATCTCGTATATATCAACGGCATTAAGGGTCGACATTTCAGCAATCGTTACGATCAAATGTTCGGGTCGTTTTAACAGTGGAATGTAAAGTAGTCGTCTCTGAAGTTCTCGCAAAATTTCGCAAAAAGACAATTTCGCGGGGAAAAAATAAGCATGTCATGTACGTTATTCCTTTTCGATCAAGTTAGAGTATAGCTGTATGGTATAATAAGTCAGAGGTCCTGCATTGAATAAGTCAGAGTTCCTGCATGGAATGAATGAGTCAGAGTTCCTGCATGGAATAAGTCAGAGTTCCTGCATGAAGTATGTCAGAGTTCCTGCATGGAATGAATAAGTCAGAGTTCCTGCAGGGAACATGTCAGAGTTCCTGCAGGGATTAATTCAGAGTTCCTGCATGGAATGAATAAGTCAGAGTTCCATGCAGGGAACATGTCAGAGTTTCTGCAGGGAATAAGTCAGAGTTCCTGCATGGAATGAATAAGTCATAGTTCCTACATGGAATAAGTCAGAGGTCCTGCATTGAAATGAATAAGTCAGAGTTCCTGCATGGAAATATTCAACTTTTTTGGTTTTAAATTTGTTGCTTAAACGAATCTGAGATTGTTAACTAACAGCTAGTAAAATATTATTTTCTAACAGTTTGCAATTATATTACATTTTTTTTCTCTTACGATGACATCAGCCAGAGCTGGGAACTTATGAATGGATAACCTTTAATCCCGACTGTTTAATCCAAATATCCACTGTGGAAACTTGTCAGTCCACTCTTTTTCTCTCTCTTTGGAAATCCGTACATTGTTTTCTCCAATGAGAGTGCAGGAATATAGGTCGTAAATTGTATTGACCAATGCCAGTCTTGAAAATAAATTCTATCCAATGAGAGACCTCCGCAATTTCTAACAAATAAAGAATTTGATGTCGGCCATTTTGTAAAGAAATCGGTGAAGAAAATAGGTAATAATACGCTTGAGATTCTTTTTAAACTAATTTTAACTAATGTATTAACAGATAAATGTGTGTGAAATTAAGTGAATGCCCTTCCAGTCAAGAAAACGAACAAATCTGGCGCTCCGTGAATCAAATTTATTGATCTTAAAAATTAATCTCGAGACTAAAATAATCTTGAGATTATGTTAATCTCAAGATTAGCAAAACGATTTGTCAAAACGATTTAACAAAACAATATTTTGTGAAATCTTTGTAAAATTCTTATCAGTATAAACAGACTTATATCTAAGACCGAAACTTTTGTGGTGAATCTCCGACTAAGTCTGGGATCAGTCTTAGCGTGCACCTGGGATTTTTTTCTCAATAAAAAATGTCAAATTTAACTCTATATATTCTTATAATGTATATTTTATTAAATCAATTTTTTAATCAACTCGTCGCTTAAAAACAACTTGAATTTCCATACAGACAATGTCCAAAATTTTAGGTTTTTAACCGTGTAGTTGTAACTTGTAGGGTGTCAGTTACCAATCCATGATGTAAGTTCCAAATTAAAATGAGAAAAAGTAAAAAAAAAATCCCAATTTTGTTTTGTTTTGCACGCTTTCGTGCCGGATACAGGATAGATATGAACTCACCTTATACCTTGTATAATTCATCTATTCATTCATTCATCAGCTTTCATCCATCCTGACTTTTAAACAGGAGAATTCTCTGCAATCTTCAGTTCAAATAAACTCTTCTCAAACTTATCATTATTATCAATATGTTATTATTACTATTGTTTTTAATTATTTTATTATTATTACATTATTATCATAATTACTGTAGTAAAATGTATGTATCAGGTATTATTTTTATTATTAATTTTGTTATTATTATTAAATAGAGTTATTGTTTAAGGTATTGTTTTTTTAGAAAATCTAGGTTAGTATTATTTTTTTTTAAAGTTTACATCCAATATCTACAGATGAATATGCCTGGGTTCAGGGTTCTCTTTCTCATTTTCATTTTGAATTTTGTTCTCTCCAGTTCTCAGCTACATCTGGGAAGGTTAGTTCTTCCAATATTTTGCTACAGGGTTACCTAAAAAGAATGAGAATTTAGAGACGACTGTACAGAATTTATTAATGATTCCCGGCAACTGTAAACATATGTTTCTTTCGTTGTCAAATCATTTATTAAGCTATTAAAATATTATTCAAGATTTTACATTTTAAAGTTACAGTCTCATTCTTTGTGAGTAACCCTGTAAAACACATTCTTCAATTTCGCATTCATTCATATTAAGTAAATCCAGTATTTATCAATATTTCAATGGACTGATAATGAACTCATAAGTGACACATAGATTCAGTCTGAAGCTCTTTTCATGTATGTACATTTTAGCACTGAAAAAAAGCACTTGTTGATAGCTTTGGTTTTAAAGAATTCATTATTGAATTAAAAAGAAATGAGATAATTGATTACTGTTAAAAAGTACAAGGTTGTAATTGCATAAAGGATATAAGACATGAATGGTATGGTTGAACTTTA